GTTGGAGTTGGGGCAGCGGGGACTGAGTTGAGTTGGGGCGGCGGGGGCGGGCTGGAGCGGCGCGGCGGGGCTGGAGAAGCGCGGGCTGGAGCAGCGCGGCGGGGCCGCGTCCTACCTGCGGCAGCTGCGGGACAAGGGTGATCGTGACGGTACCGGAACGGGGCACGGGGGGGGCCGGAGGGAGCACCGGGGCTGCCGGGACCCTCTGGTGGGGCTGGGCTGAGCCCCCGGGGCTGTCGGGACCCTCCGGCGGGGCTGGGCTGAGCCCCCGGGAATGCCGGGACCCTCCGGCGGGGCTGGGCTGAGCCCCCGGGAATGCCGGGACCCTCCCAGGGCGCTTCGCGACGGGGGATGTGGAGTGAGATAATAACGGGAATCAGGAAGTGCTTCCACGGACCCGCGCCCGGTTCGGGGGCTGTGGCGACGTCTGGACCGGGAAAGAGCCGCTGTCCTGCAGTGAGGACCAGGGAAAATGGCCTTACAATGAGACTGGGGAGATTCGGATTAGAGATTAGGAAAAACTTGGGTGGTCACGTATTGGAATAGTTACCCGGAGAGGTGGTGGGGTCCCCGTTGCTGCAGGTGTTCCAGAGGTGTCTGGATCTGGCGCTGAGTGACGGTTTAGGGGTTACGGTGCCAGTGTTTAGTAATACTTGAACTGTGATGCCAAAAAACCTGGTCCAAAAAACTGCTCAGAGACTTTTGTATCTTTAAGCAGCAAGGTATTTGTTTATTTCACGTTGGGAACAAACCAGCTCATGCTTAATTACTCGTAATTAATTACTTAATTATTCATAATCTGCACTCTTTTGATTATGGTACTTAATTTATACCACAGCCATAAATTGAGTAATGATAACAATGCATGGCACTCACCAATACTAAGATTGGATGTATTAAGAAATGGAACACTTGAGAGGCTGTGGGGGAGTATCCCAGAAAAACATCCCACAAATGATGTTCTCCTGCTTGCTCTATCTTTTCTATATCTGAGTGTTCAAGCATCTACTGGAAGAGACTGATATCCATTCCTATTTGTAAGCTGCTATTCTCCTGCTAATTGATAATTAGAATTTTCAGGTGCTTTGTGATTGGCGTGAGTCTGCCAGCGAATGACCACCCTTCCACACAGGAAAGAAAGCCCTGAGCCTCCCTCTCTCGTGTGCCACTCTCAGCATTACACACACAGCGAGCGCTTTCTGCCCGGGCACCTTTGGTCTGGGAGGAATCTTCGTCCGTGTTCAGTTTTGGCCCTCGGACCACCCCCTGCAGCGCCAGCCAGCGAACAACTGCCCTTCCACCCAGGAAACAAAGCCCTGAGCCTCCATCTCTCACCTGCAGCTGGTGCATCTGAGACCCCAACGGTAAGGGCTTTCTTTCCTGCAAGAAATACCCTCAGGCCCTTGACCCCCATATTCCACACTCACCAGATGAAACCAATAAACTCTTTCAGACCATTTATTTTTGGGGTGTGTCCCTCTCCCTCTGGGGGGGTTTCTCGCTGCCCCCCTGGGGCTTTTCAGGCTCCCTCTGAGCCTCGTCCTTGTGCCCCTGACGCTGTTTGGGGTCCCCCTTTTCATTGTGCCCCCGACGGTTTTCGGGGTTCTCCCGGTCCTTGTCACCCCCCCCGGCGTCAATGGCGGCGTGTTCCCTCCTCACCAGCTCCTCCAGCTCCTCCTGGCAGGTGGCATTGGTTTGGTTTGGGGGGTCCCAGCAGGGTTTGGGGGTGCAGGGGTCAGGAGAACTCCCCAGATTTGGGGGTCAGGGTGATACCTTCCAGCCCAGCAACTCGGCCAGAGCCAGGCACCCGCTGTCACAGTCCCCCAGCCAGGCCACATCCCTGAAAGAGAACAGAGAGACCCCAAAATCACTTGGGAGGGTCCCTAAAACACCTGGGCGGCCTGATATCAGTTTGGGGAGCCCCAAACTGCTTTGGGGGTTCCAAAACCACTCTGGAAACCCCAAAACCAGCTTGGGGGGGGCTAAAACACTTCGGGGGGTGTCAAATTGCTTTGGGGACCTAGAAGCATGGGGGGGGGGGGGGGGCTCCCCAAAACCACCCTGGAGGCTCCAGAACCACCTGGCGGGTGGCCCCAAAACACCTGAGAGGGTCCCCAAAGCCACACTGGAGGGGGACCAAAAGCACCTTGTGGTTCCAAAACCACCTTGGGGTCCCCAAATACCCTGGGCGTCCTCAAAGCCACCTTAGGGGTCCCCAGATTCATGGGAGGGGCCCTTCAAATCATCTCAAGAGACTCCAGATCCATCTGGAAGGGTTACCAAAACTATCCTGGAGGGGGGAGGGGGCCAAAAGCTCCTGAGGGAACAACCATGAGGCACCCCAAAAACACCTTGGGGTGTCTCAAACCTAAGTGGGGGAAAGAAACACCACAAATCTACCTTAGGGGGTCCCAAAGCCACCTTGGAGGATCCTAAAACCACCGGGGGGGTCCCTAAAACTGTCTGGGGAGGTCCAGGATCCCCCCGAACTCTCCAGTCCCCCTTACCTGTAGGCCTTCTCCGAATCAAAGTCCATCCCGCAGCCGAAGCCCATCAGGGACATCAGGGGGTCACTCTGGGGGGAGCAAAAGGGGTGACAAGGGGGGGGGGGGCAGGTGCTTCTTCCCCCTCCCCAGCACCCCTCAACCCCACGTTGCCCCACACGAGCCCCCCCGTCCCCTGCCCCTCACCTGTCCCGTCTTCTCCTTGTTGATCAGGAGTCTGGGGGTGTTGACAGGGACCCTGTGGGGGTGACAGGAGGGGACAGTCACGAGGGGGTCACAGGAATTGGGGGGTGGTCCCGGGGGTGCTGGGGCGGTCCCACCTGCTGACGAGTGAGGCGAAGGGTTGCACCTGCAGCGAGGTGCCCATGATGATGAGCAGGTCAACTTTCTGGAAGTCCTGGGGGGGCAAGGGCACGTCACTGTGAGGTCCCCTCTGCCCCCTTCCCCGAATTCAGGGTGTGTTCAGGGCCCCCCCACCCCACTCACCGACTGCAGGAGGGTGAAGAAGCGTGAGGGGAGGCTCTCCCCGAAAAACACAATGTCTGGGAGGGTCAGAGGTGAGTGGAGGGGCTGGAGGGGGCTTAGGTGTCCCCTCAAATGCCCCCTAAGCTCCTCCAAACCCCCCAAGCTCACCGGGTTTCACCAGGCCCTGGCACTTCTCACATTTGGGGACGAGAGAGGAGAAAATCCGCTCTGGAAAGGAGGGGGAGTGGGAAACTCAGTGGGGAGGGATGTGGGGGGGACACACAAGGAATTGGGGGGGGCAGAGAGATTGGGGGGCACAGGGAGGGCACTGGGGGAGAACAGCCTCCTGTTAGGACCCCATAAGTGCAGGGGACGGGACTTCCCTGACCCCGTCCCAGTGCCCAACTGCGGGTCTCAGGGGGTGTTTTGGGGGTCCCAAGTGTTTGGGGGGGTTCCAGGGGGTCCCCAAAGCCCCCCCATACCCTTCATCCAGCTCAGGCTGTAGGGCTGGCGGCACGAGGGGCGCAGGCAGTGGGAGGTGAAGAAGGTGCCATGAGCCTCCACCAGCCGCTCCGGGTCCAGCCCCGCCACCCTCTCCAGGGTGTCGATGTTCTGAGGGGGGCAGGGGGTCAGGGGGACCCCAAAACCCCCACGGTCTCCCAAACCTCGCCCAGCCCCCTCCCCCCCTCCAAGTGGGGGTCCCACCTGGGTGTAGCAGCGCAGCAACAGCCCCTTGTCCTGCAGCAGCCGCATGAAGTAGTGACACACCGTGGGCTGGGGGGCGAGATCTGGGGGTCAGTTGAGCTCCCCCCGAGGTGTTTTTGAGGGGTAGGCCCCCCCCCCCCCGGGGTTTGGGGGGGGGGGGAAAGGGGGTCTCAGGGGGCTTGGGGGGTGTCTCAGCACCCCAAAAGGGTCGGGATCCCCCTGAAATTTGGGAGGGGGCATACTTTGAAGAAACTGATCTCAAAGATGGCCTCAGGATAGGGCAGGTCGTAGCTCTGCAGGTTGGCGTAGAGCCCCGTGCCGGGGGAGCGGAAATCGGGGATCCCGGCGGCTGGGGGTGGAGCACGGGGGGGTCAGGACCCCCCCCATGTCCCACTCATCCCCCCCGTGCCCCCCTCAGCCCCCCAAACCACACTCACAGGTGGAGATCCCGGCGCCCACCATGCAGACGATGTTCTTACCTAGGGGAACGAGATATGGGGGGTGAGGGGGCATCCCAAAACTGCCCCCTCCTTCCCCCCACTGTCAGCCCCCAAATCCACCCCCAATAACCCCTCAAAACTGCTTCCTCCTTCCCCATTGTCAGCCCCCAAATCCACCCCCAATAACCCCTCAAAACTGCCCCCAAGGCTCGTTCCCCCCTGGTTTCCCAGTGTGTGTCCACCCAGCTCCTCCCCCACTTCCCTCCCAGTGCCCCCATTCATTCCCAGCGTCCTTGTTCCCAGTGCCCCCATCCATTCCCAGTGCCCCCCACTCCCAGCGTCCCGTACACCGCTCGCTCCGCAGGAACCGGCTCACTCCATCCAGGGACAGCTCGTCCAGCACCCGCTCGGGTTTGTCCCCCCCGAGCCCGAGGGTCCGGGACAGGAGGGTCCGGAGCAGCTCCACTGCCGGGGGGACACCAGGGGGTCCACAAAGGCCTCTTCAAGTGTCCCCAAAAGTCCCCAAAGGTCCCACTCTGGATGCCCAGCGCCACTCAGTGTCCCCAAATCTGCCCCAGGATCCCCAAGGGCCCCATAAATGTCCCCAAAGGGTCCCCAAAGGCCCCAAAACTGCCCCCAAAGGGTCCCCAAAAGCCCCATAAACGCCTCCAAAGGGTTCCCAAAAGCCCTATAGGTTAGGGTCCCCAAGGACCCCACGACTGTTTCCAAAGGTCTCTTAAAGCGCTCAAAAGCCCCATGAATCATAGAATCAGAACAGAATCATAAACCCAACCGAATTGCAAAAGACTTCTGAGATCATCAACTCCAGCTCTTGATCCAAAGAGCCCCCAAAAGCTCCATAATGTCCCCCAGGGCCCCGCAGTGTCCCCAAGACCTTCAGAAGTGTCCCCAAAGAGTCCCCAAAAGCCCCATAAGGATGAGCCCCCGGACCACCCCCCCCGGGAACCCCCAGACCCACTGTCAGCGTCGGCCGAAGCGCCCAGCTCAGGGTCCGAAACCTGCGGGGGAACGGGAGGGTCACGGGGGAGTACCCAAAGGGACACCGGGGGGGTCCCCAAAGGTCACCGGGGGGGGGGCTCCGGCCGCTCACCGGGGACTCCTCGTCCTGCTCCGCCTCTTCCCCGCAGGCACCGGGACCTGCGGGGGCAATAGGGAGGTGTCAGCGGGGGTCAGTGGGGGTGAAGGGGGTCCCGTCCCAGCCCCGCCGCCCCCGGTACCGTCCGGGTCCGCCATGCGCCGTCCCGGCGTGCACCGCGCGGCCGCTCCGCCACACTTCCCGGCGTGCAGCGCGCGGCCGCTCCGCCACACCTCCCGGCGTGCAGCGCGCGCGGCGCAGGGCGGGGCTTTCGAGGACAGAGCTGCGCGTGCCCGGGCTGGCGGCGCTGATTGGCTGAGCGCACCCCCGTTTCCCGGCTTGCCCCGCGCGGCCCCGGAAGCGGGTCCCGGCGGGGATTCCCCGGCCCGCGATGGCGGCGGCGGCCTGAGGCGGCCCCGGCCCGAAGTGGCCCCGGCGATGGCGGCCTGAGGCGGCCCCGGCGATGGCGGCCGCGGCCCCCGCGGCCCCGCCGGCCCCCGGCGAGGCTAAGCGGCCCGAGGGCGATGAGTGGTGCGACAGCGGGCTGGGCTCGCTGGGCGAGGGACCGCTGGGGCAGCCGCTGCCCGACAGCCCCGGCCCGGAGCCCCCCGAGTCCCCCGCGGACCCCTCGGCCTGGCTACGGCACGTCCTGAGCTTCGTCACCGAGGACGGCGACACGTGAGTGCTGGGCAGGGACGGGGAGAGGGGGGACACGGAATCCCCCCAGCCCCGGGGTTGGGGGTCCCGGCCCTTGGAGGGGGGCGCTGCATGGCGGGGTCCTGCCCTGCGACCCCCCCAGGGATCTCTTTGGCCCCCCCCGTGGGTTCCCCTCAATCCTCGTCCCCCCCATCCCTGCCTTTTGGGGGGCCCCCCCGCGGGTCGAGGTGTGTCAGGGCCCCCCCCCAAGCCCTTCTCACCCCCCAGGGCGCTGCACTTGGCCGTGATCCACGAGCACGAGGAATTCCTAGAGTCCATCCTGCGGCACACGGAGCGCTCCCCGTACCTGGACCTGCAGAACGACCTGGGGCAGGTGGGGGGGCTACAGGGGGGCCTCAAGGGGTGTTTGGGGGGGAGTTGGGGAGCTTTGAGATCTCCCAGGCTCTCCAGGGGTGTGTTCGGGGGGAAATTGTGAGGGGGGCACAGGGGATGTTTGGGGAGGTTTTAGGCCCCCCCAGTCTCAGCAGCACCAGGTGGGTTTGGCTGTGGAGCTGCGATGGGGGGCTCGGGGGGTTGTGTTTGGGCCCCCCTGGGCTCACCCCCTGCCCCCCCCACCCACAGAGTGCTCTGCACGTCGGGGGGGGCTGGGGGCATTTTTGGGGGTGTTTCTGGGTAGTGTTTCAGATGTCTTTGGGGGGGGTTTAGGGGGTGTTTGGGGGTGGGTTTGGGGCATGTTTGAGATGTGTTTGGGGGTGGTTTTGGGGGGGGTGTTTGGGCTCACCCCGTGCCCCCCCTGCCCCCAGAGCGCTCTGCACATCGCGGTGGTGCTGGGGCTGGCGGGGGCCGTGGGGCGGCTGCGGGCGGCGGGTGCGGGGCTCTGTGTGCGGGAGCGGGGGGGGGCACACGCCCCTGCACCTCGCCTGCCGTGAGGGGCACCCCGCCTGTGCCCGTGCCCTCCTGGGGGGGCTCCTGGAGGTGGCCCCTGAGCCCCGGCAGCCCCCGGAGACCCCCCCAGAGCCGCAGGGCACAGCGAGGACCCCCCCAGAGCACCAGAAGGAGGACGAGGAGCTGCGGGCACAGCTGGAGAGCGTCAACTATGACGGTGAGGGGGGGGTCCAGAGCGCACACTGGGGACGTGGGGGACACAGCAGAGAGTGGGAGGCACGGCAGGGGAGGGGAGGGATACTGTGGGGACACGGTTTTGGTGGGGGGGATGGGGCAGGGGCTGGTGGAATACTGTAGGAATGTGGTTTTGTGGTGGGACACATGGTTTTGAGGGGAACGCAGGGGGGGCCACTGGACATGGCGGGGGGTTGCAGGACGCCGTGGGGCTGTGTGGAAAGCTGGGAACACAGTTTGGCGACACAGTTTGCGGTAAGGGTCACACAGTGACATGGCTCATGGTTTTGGGGACCCCTCGACTCCCCTTTCCCCCTCCCAGGTTACACCCCCCTGCACGTCGCCGTCCTGCGCCGGGACCTGGAGCTGGTGCAGCTGCTGCTCCGCGCGGGCGCCGACCCCGACAGGCCGGTGGGTGCCCCCCAAAGTGGGCTGGGGGGTCCTCAAAGCCCACAGAGCCCCCCCTGACCCCACTGTGCCCCCCAGGAGCCGAGCTGCGGCCGCAGCCCCCTGCACTTGGCCGTGGAGGCGCAGAGCCCCGAGGTGGCCGAGTGCCTCCTGCGGGGGGGTGCCCGGCCTGACCCCCGCACGTTCTCGGGGTACACCCCCCTGTACAGCGCCCGGCGCCGCCCCGACCCCCGCCTGCCCCCCCTGCTGCGGCGCTTTGGGGCCCGGGACCCCCCCAGCGACAGCGACAGCGATGACAGTGACAGCGAGGGGGGGGCCGAGGACAGTGAGGTCAGTGACTCCCCCCAGAACAAACAGCACCCCAAAACCCCTTGGGCTCCTCTCATAAGCTGAGGGGGCTCCAGGCAGCCCCCCCAAACTCCTGCAGCCCCCTCAAACTGCCTCCCCCCCCAGGAGGAGTACGATGACATCGTCATCAACAGCGGGCGCTGCCCAGACTGAGGGGCCCCAGGGAGCCCCTGCATGGACTTGGGGGTCCTTCCCCCACCCCCCCAGTGTGGAGGAGCCCCCAAAGCTGCCCCTGCCCACCCCCAGGCCCGGGGGGGGCCACGAGAGGCTGGGGGGGACAACGGGAAATAAAGGAGGGAAGAGATGTGTGTGTTCAGGGATGTGTCTGTGTATGCAGGACACGTGTGTGCTGGCGCATGTGTGTGTGCAGGGAACACACGTGTGGGGGGGATGCGTGTGCCCAGAGCACCCCTAGGGCATAGGCAGAGCAGAACACGCGTGTGCCCACGGGCTGCAGCTTACGGGGGGGGTACAAGACTTTATTTCAGGACTTGTTACCACAGGGGACGCAGACAAGGGGGTGTCCCGCCTGTGATGTGTCGCACACATGACATGTGTTCCACATCACGTCTGTCCTATCTCACGTGTGTCCCATGTCAGCCCGTGTCCATCCATGTTCTGTCTGACTCCTGCTCTCATGGTCCTCCCAGGGCTCCTCTCGCCTCAGGAGGCCCCCCCAGTGTCTGCCCTGTTTTTGGGGTCCCCCCCGGGGCCCCCCCCCGGGCTGGTTGGGGCCGATGTAGTGCAGGAGGGGTGCAGGGGGTGGGGACAGCACCTCTTGCCCCACCAGGGGCTGCAGGACGGGGGGAACACGGACACGGCCATCCTGGGGGACGAGAGGGGGGCAGGGTGGGGTGAGCCCTCCCTGCACCCCCAGTTCCCCACGGGAACCCCCCCTCCAGGCCCCCAAAACCTACCGGCAGCTGGTTGCTCTCCAGGAGTGCGATGAGCATCCGGGACACGGCGCAGGCTGTGCCATTCACCTGGAGGGGTCAGAGGGTTTAGGGGGGCTTGGGGGCCTCCCCCGGGGTTTCGGGGACCCCCCCAGGGCTCGGGGACCCACCGTGTGGGCGTGGCGCAGGCGGCCCCTCCCGTCGCTGTACATGATGTTCAGCCGCCGGCTCTGGTAGTCGGTGCAGTTGGAGGCACTGGAGATCTGGGGGGGGTGGGGCTCAAAAAGAGTTCTGAGGGGTTTGGGGGACACCCCCCCTCACTCCAGGGACCCCCTAAATGGGGGTCAATCTCTTGATTTGCCATAAAAGTGGGGGAGAATCCTCCAGCTGTCCCATAAACAGGAGGGGTCTCTGCCCTTGGATGGCCTGAGGGGGCGGGTCACCCTGCACACCCCTCAAAATATCAGGGTCCTCCTGGAATTCTGGGGTCACGTCCCCCTCACCTCCCCATATTTGCCCCGTCCAGGCATCCAGGCCTCGATGTCGAACTTGCGGTACGCAGGGAGCCCCAACTCCTCCGTGGGCATGTCCAGGACCCTGCGGGCAGTGGGGGGGGATTTAGGGGCATCACGAGGGATTTTGGGGTGACACACAGAGAGGGGACACCCCCAAAACCCCCTCACCTGTAGTGGAGCCCCAGCTCCGAGAAGATTTCCTTCTGCAGTCCCAGGAACTCGGCCAGCAGCTCCTCACTCTCTGTCCCGCGCTCCGTCGCCGTCACCCCGAACATCTCCACCTTTGGGGGGCACACAGGGCTGACCTCCCCTTTCCTGCACCCCCCGGGGGGGCCTCCCAGTGCTCCCAGTACCTTGGTGAACTGGTGGACACGGTAGAGCCCCCACGGCTCCCGCCCCGTGTCAGTCTCGGCGCGGTAGCAGGTGCTGGAGCAGACGACCCTGGGGGGAAAAAGGGGGTGCCGGGGGGTGCCCTAAATGCCCAGGATCCCCTGAGAAGGGGTGAAGGGACCCCAAAAGGGAAGGGGGAGCTGGAGTGGGGGGAGACCCCCCCGTACCTGATGGGCAGGTTCTGCAGCTGCACCGCGTGGTCCATGAAATACCCTGGGCCGGAGGCTGGGTTTGAGGGGGCCAGGGGGCACACGGAGCCCCCCAAACCTGTTTGCACCCCCTCTTCCCACTCTTTTCCCCTGTTTTTCCCCGCTCCTCCCCCTCGTTTTGCCCAATTTCCCACCTGCAATTCCCACCTCCGAGGTCCCAGCCAGGCAAAGGTCCTCGAAGCGCGACGGGTCGATGGTGTAAACAGGGGAGGGGGTGGCACTGAGCTGCACCCCACAGCCCTCCTGGGGGTCACAGGGGTCAGGAGGGGTCAGGGGAGTCCCGGAGGGTCAGGGGGTCAGGGGGCACGGGGGATCACTCACAAAAACGGCGCCTCGGAGCAGGTCAGGGACTGTCATGGGCAGGAAACCCTGAGGGAAAAGGGGGTCATCAGGGGGCACGTGGGGCCTGACCAGACTGTCCCTGGATCCTGGACCCCCCCCAGAGCCCTCCGGGCCCCCCAATCCCCCATACCTTGGGCAACAGCTTCCCCAAGGTGAAGGAGACGAGCGCGTGTTGCAGCAGCGCCCCGGCCCCGCACAGATAATAGGAGCGATGGCCCGACACGTGGGACAGGCGCCTGCGACAGGGGAACACGTGTGGGACACCCGTGTAACACCTGGGGGTGTCCCCACCCTGAACAGGTAATAGGAGCGAGGGCCC